TACAGAAGCCCAGCAAGGAGTGTGAACCATATGCTTCCATTGATAATAAGCCAATTGCTCCGTGTGGGGCCATCGCCAACAGCATGTTTAACGGTGAGACCATTTTTTTTTCTTGCAGATTAACAACAAAGAGAGAATGAAGAAAACATAAAAAAATGACTGTTAGTAAATGATTATGGTCACAGATCATCACAGATCAGTTTGTGTGAACGTGTCTTTGAAGGACTCACATTTCTCTTATCAGCCGTCTTTGCTTTCTTTGCAGACACTTTGAAGCTGTTTTACAACGACCCCAACGGCACAAGTGTCCCGATCCCGCTGACGTCCACAGGAATTGCCTGGTGGACGGACAAACATGTGAAGTTCAGGAACCCTGTAGGCACCAACTCAAACCTCACGGCTGTTTTTCAAGGTATCGCCAGTCAGCTACGTCTGCTGCACTCCCTCTCTCTGAGGGAGAGGCTGTCTGTTTTTCTTATTGCAGACAAGTCTTAAAAAAGGATTCGTTCTCCTGTGCACAGAGCTGCACTGTTTCCGTGTTATAAACACAGGAAATAAAACAGCTGAAATAAAGCATAAACCTAAAAGTGGCTCAATAAATAAATGAATATGCAGTAACATGCACCATAATGAGATTAGAAGTAAATATTGATGACTGGCAGAAATAAATTCTGCATTTATTTACCTTTATTTTTTACATTTTTGTTTTTTTTTATTAAGTAACATTTATTTTTTTTTAGATTGTATTAATTAGTTTTTAATATTTGTATTTTTATAATTTAACAACACACTTTTTACATTTTATTGTGTGGTTAGATTAGATAGATTTTTATTATTTAATATATTTGATTGTTTAATAGTAATCCTCTGTTACTAATATTACTAGTAAATACTGGTAATGCTACAATATCAGAAACTGACCATTTTTAAGATAATCATCAACGTCTATTCCGTTTTTATTTTTGTTTTTTTTTTCACTTCCACTTCAGGAACAGTGAAGCCGGTGAACTGGCACCGGCCTGTGTACGAGCTGGACACTGATCCGGAGAACAACGGCTTCATCAATGAGGATTTCATCGTGTGGATGAGAACTGCCGCTCTGCCCACCTTCCGCAAACTCTACCGCATCATCCAAAAGAAGAACAATATGGCCCCCACCCTCCCCCGAGGAAACTACACCTTAGTGGTGGACTACAGTATCCTTAACGTGAAAGTCGTGACAGCAAAACTGCATGAAAAAAACAGAAACAGATTCTTATAAAATTTAAATGAAGGTTTAAAAGAAAAATAAGTGGTTGTCGTACCTTTAACCTGATAAAACCAGATTACCCTGTTCGCAGCTTTGAGGGCAGGAAGCGGATGATCCTGAGCACCATCTCCTGGATGGGAGGCAAGAACCCATTCTTGGGCATCGCCTACATCACCGTGGGCTCCGTCTGCTTCTTCCTGGGCGTCGTGCTGCTGGTCATCCACCACAAATACGGGAACCGCAACAACAGCGCTAACATCTCAAACTGAGGTGCCGGCTGCGCTCCAGCTCGCCTCCACCGCCATAAATGTGATGCGATGATGAATCTGAGGAAACGGGTGACGATGGTAGATTCATCTTCAGCTGTAGTGCAGAGTTCATGTTCTAAAGTCACACTCAAATGCCAATCTTAAAGAAATCAGCTGAAAATGTGCTCATTCCTCTCCTAACTATACAAGTCTAACAAAAACGATTGTGTCAGAGATTCAAGTCAGCACGCAGAACGACCTAAAGCCCAGCCAGGCTCTTCAAATATTAAAAAAAATAATAATAAAAAATTAACAGGGAGGAGTCTGGAAAGTTTTTTACGTCACTTTAGGATCTCTGATGGTGAAGTGGAAGTGAGCGGGAGTATAAGTGTGTGAGCTGCATGCTGCTGAGATGTTGTTATCACCGCGCTGCTCGGGTGTATGATGGTGTGTTAGGCCCACCGAAGGCAGAAAATGTGGCTAAAGTTGTAAATTTACCAGAAAAAGTGGCAAAATTAATAGTAAAAATGTATGAGACTGTCAAAATGTGAAAATGTAAAAAAGAAATTTGGCAAGTTCATGGGAAACAAAATGTGCAAATATGACAGAATTAATATAAGGAAAAAACTAAAAAAAGAGACCCTCTCGCGGTCTCTTTCTGCCCCTCGTTGGTTCTGGTACGGCGTTGAACGGGTGGCTTGTCTTTGTGCCTCCTTTTTGTTGTTGTCCTAAATCTTTAACTCCGCTTTAACTGTGTTGTAGCAATTTCAAGGGAACACACAGAGTACTGCAGCTAAAAAAAAGAGTGTTTATTTTTTGTATTTACATGAACAGTTTTATGAGATGTTTGCTTGCTAGAGTAAAGCCAGTATTTGCACGTGAGACCTCAGGGTTGCAGAGTCTGAAACAGGTTTAAATTTGAGTGAGTATCCAGAGAAATTTGCACTGATGCGTAGTTTCATCCACTGTGGTTTACATGCAGTAACAACAGAGCAGCATGACTCAGCACTACATGTGATTAAATGTTTTCTGTGCTACGAGTGAATTTATGTCGTTTTACAGCCATTTTTAAGCTACGAGGAGCTGCAGCTGCTTCCACCTGCTCGTTAAATAGATGCTGCATGTTCAGATGTGCCGAGATATATTATGCTTTTTATTTTTTAACATAGAAATGAATTTATTACCTGCATTTGTGTCTGGTTGGATTTGACTTTTGTGTTTTTGATACTTCACCTGTGTTTTGTTGTTTTTGCTTTAAAAGAATAAATTTGTGATTTAAAAAAAAAAAAAGATGAGTCGTTTTAATTCGTCAGCCGGAAATGATAAGTGTGGAAATAGTTTTATTTTTCTCATAAGTTTTATGTCATAAAACACTTTTACTGTATTTTATTCTCCAATCCAAAAGGGAGGGAGTGTGTAGTCAGTATCTTAGCACTCTAGCATCCACAGTTTTCAAGATCTCATTTTCAGATTTTGTGTGATGGTAAACACCGATAATGGCTCAAGCTGCTTCCAGTTTGGTGAAAATCTGGTCTAGATCAAACGAAATGTTAAAAAAATTAGTAAAAATATATTTTTATTATATTACCAACAAATTTTGAATGGATCATCTTCAAACTGGCTTCAGCTTGTTCAGCAGCAGCGGCGTCTTTAAACATTGGAAGACAGTGAGGCAGTGAGGGGCTCAATGCTCTGGTACCTCTTGACAGAAGTGTGTGTGTGAGGGCTGCATGGGGTCCTCCACAATGCCAGTGGCTTTGCAGATGCAGCGGGTGCGATAGGTGTCCGTGATGGAGAGAAGAGAGGCTCCGATGATCTCAGCTGTTCTCACTATCCTTTGTAGGGTATTGCAATCTGATATGGTGCAGTGATGGTGTACCAGACAGTAATGTAGCTGCTTAGGAAGCTCTCTTTAGTCCCACTGTAGGAGGTGGTGAGAATGGATGATGGGAGATGGGCTTTTCTCAGCTTCTACAGGAACTAGAGATGCTGTTGGGCTTTCTTAGTTATGGAGCTGGTGTTGAGGGCCCAGAAGAGGTTCTTTAACAGAAAGCAAATATGAAGTTATATGATATATGATATGATAATATGTATAATATATTTATTAATATATGAACCAGTTCATTCTAAATTCTATAATTTCGTTTGATTACAGTTTTTTCTGAATGCTTAAACCCTAACTGTGATTCCTGTAGCACAATCTCTAAAACTATTCAGACTTATAGCAAAACCACTCACTGAGTTTGCAAAACTAAAAGCACAAAAACTGCTTTGCACTCAGTTTGCAATTTTGTAACACACACTTTGCAAAACTGTAGGCACAATTCACTGCACAACACTCAATTACCAAATTTCCAACACACTGCTAGCAAAAGTATACACATGTATGGCTATCATTAACACTAATTTGCCAACTGTCTGGCACACTTTCACATGTGAAAACTTCTTTAGATAATTAGTTCACTTTGCAATCAGCCTAAGCACTATAATACAGGTAAGCTGTGTGTGCGGAGTACAATGGAGGGAGCAGGAAGAGTGAGAAGTAGAGGAGGCCGAGGAAGAGGACGTGGAGGTGAAGAAGTAGGATGAAGAGGACGACAAGGACAAGGAGGAGCAAGAGGAAGACGAGGAGGGGGAGAGGAAGATGAGGAGGGGGGAGAGGAAGGGTAGGAAGAGTAAGAAATAGAATTGCTGATGACATCAGAGCTACAATAGTGGACCATGTAATCAACCGTCGAATGACCCTGAGGGTAGCTGGCCAACGGGTCCAGCCTAACTCGAGCCGCTACACTGTAGCAAGTACCATAAGGACATCTTGAAATGAGAGTCGGTTAGTACAGTCACTTCGCACAAAGATTTGTAGCACTGCCATATGCCAATGAGAAACACACCAATACCATTGATGTAAAAATACTGAAATTGTTACTTTACAGAATTGCTAGATGACCAGATGCTGGGGGCAGAGGAAGCATGTTCACTGCAGACCAAGTAACCCATATAGTCATTATGGCGATTGCAAATAATCCTATACTTGGAAATAAACACTTGTGTTTGTTTTGATGTGTTTGAATAAACACCAGTGCTTGAAGTTTGGATCCGTCTATGCTTATGGATCTATGACAGAAGTATGAGCTCAAACTGACATAGCCTACCTTGTGCACAGAGAAAGCAAAAGCCAGATGTGTTTTGTATTCATACCATCAGTGTGCAGTTGGCGCATTGTGTGCTTAGTAGATGATGGCTTGTGTGTACTGTTTGATACGGAAACACCATTTTTACGAAGGTGTGAAGAGTTAATCTAGCTGTGTTTGCTTTTGCAAGAGAACTACAATGTTTTGATTATTGGGTGACAGGTTTTCTTATTTGTGTGAAGAGTTTTGCAAAATTAGCCAATAGTTACAAAAAATGTGCTTAGGCATTCAGAAAAAACTGTAAATCTGCTCTCATGCTTGACTGTGGGTACCTGACGCTCATGTAGGGGGCAGCAGCGCGCAGCATGAGCACAGTTAATGATAGCGAAGAAGATTTCAGTGGAAACGGAAGTAAAGGTTTCCTGTGCCCTTGTGACAGACAGCGGACTGTAGACGGACGATGAGCATGTACAGACAATTTTATGTAAGTTTATTTTCTATTTACAAGTTTCTCTTGGGTGTTGTTTTTTAAACTAGTGAGCTGGATAAATGCGATGGATGAGCCACCGGGGTAAAAACAGTCGGCTATATTTAGCTTAGAACGGTTAGCAGGGGTCAACACCGGGAAGAGTTAGCATTAGCTTTGCAGAGGAGTTGTATTTAGCGGTGGTGTCCGGCCTCTCGGTGTTTGTTTTCTGTGTATTCAAGACTGGGTTCTTATATTTTCATTAAATGAGTGTTTCTCCGTGTCCTTGCGCTGCTGTTTTCCAGGCGCTTCAGCAGGTGGCGCGGCGGAGCATCTCCAGCTCCGTCCGGCGGCAGGTTGAGAACAAAGTCCCCCAGAAACAGAAGGTGTTCCAGGTAAAGGTCACACAGACAGACCGCTGCACTTCCAACTGTTCCATAAAACCCTGTCATCATCGAAGGCCTCCTTTGTGTTTCTGTTGTCGGCCTTAAATTCAGAATACGACCGTTTCCTACTTCCTGTATACCTATAATATTAATTATTATTTGAACTGAGGCTCTGTCCTGTGATCCAAACCTCATATCTTTGTATTGGGAGTGCGCTGGGAAATTTTAAAGGATACAGGAGCATTGAAAACATTCTAATATGTCAAAATAATAATTCCTGTGTGTGTGTGTGTGTCTGTCTCTATGTAGAAAGCTGAATTAATGATGATGGAATTGTTAATGTGTTCATTCTGTGTGATTAGTTCAAGGGATCCACACTGAATAATATAAGTTGGAGGTCCTTTAAGTTTTTAATGTAATTTTTTTTGGTGGCTATCTAAGGTCACTATGGTGTCACATCTGTTCATATTTGTAGATATTTATCACAGTTAAGCATATTTTCTTCACCTTGCTGACAACAGATCTGCTCTGTTCATTTTAAATTTAGCAACCAAAGGAAGGAGTCAGAGGACACCAAAGCCCCTCAACAATCACCCACCTAACTTGTGTCATTGACTTAAAACAACAAAAACCCAAAGTTCTGTTATCTCCCTTCAGTAGGTGTTTATTTTAAAGGAAATATGTTCTCATGGTCACTTGTTTTGGTGTGTACTCAGTTATCTGAACGTCAACCATCAGGCACTCCTAACGTGATCTGGGATCAATCATTTTTAAAGCTTGGGGAAGCTAAGGTCCCCTCAGAGCTGCAGTCAATTATCTGGATCTTTTATTTTTGTTTTAACTTTGCATTCAGACCATGAAAACATGGTTTGAACAGTATAACTGTTTCTTTTTAACCAATATCAGATTTGCTTTAGAGCCAGAAGTACAGTGAATAAGAAATAAATAAAACAAAAACCTTTAATATCTAAGTTTTCAGTCATGGTCTGAATTTAAGTTTAAATGGGCTCTTAAAAAAAATAGCAATGACTTGATCCAGTGTTAAATGCAAGCTTGAATGGTGACCTCTGCTGGCCAAAATCTGGAGCTGCAATTGAATCAAGTTGAGACCTCTTAAGATGAGATTCTATAGCTTTTTTTTTCTTAAAAAAAATTAGCTAAACATACCACTTTAAAAACCTGTGACACCTCTCAGTGCTTACAAATCCTTAAGATGTTCTTAAAACGTCTTATTTTGGCTTAAATTAAAAAGTATTTAATATGAAGGCAATGCCTTTAATTACTTGTGGTTTGCTAATTTTTATTAGATTTGTTTTATATAAATATCATAGATATAAATGCCATAAATAAGGAGTAAGTTTAACTTTAAACATTATCGTAGAGTAAATTCTGCATGTCCAGTCAGCCTGCAGCAATGTTTTAAAGAAAGAACAAGCAGTTTTACTATAAACTAAAAGTTTTCCTATCAGCTTATTTATTCTTTAGCTATAAAATGAGACAGTGGAGGAAACCCTGAAGAAGTAGATGAGAAGAACAGGGAAAAATGCAGTTGCTGGAAATGTTTATGTCAGAACTGTTTTTAGTTGGTTGGTTTTGCTTTCACTTTTGGATGGCGTCCTTAAACTCAGTAAATACTTCAGTTTGAGCTTCAGAAATCCTCAGTGAATAAAATGTTCATTTAAGATTTGTGTAATTGCAAAAAACGTAGACGATAATTTTTTTTAAATTGCAGAGATCAGACATTAAAACCGTATTTGTAGTCTCTGAGCAGTGTGGAGACGAGCGTCCATCCGAGTTTCTTGGTTTTCTTTGTGTTTAATTTTGAAAGAGTTAGATTTTGGTGTCCGGTCTGTCTACACAAAGATGGATTATTATTTATGTGTTCCTCTTGCAGTTTTGTGGTCAATGGTGCTTTTTTTTTTTTTTCTTTCTTTAGCAGCGGTTCTTCTAATGAGGACACCTCAGTCAGTTTAGCTCCACAGATAAGTCTCCGAACTGAGTGGAGTACTAATTCTGCATGTTTAACCTGCAGTAAATCAGCCGCTAACAGCAGCACTAGCTGGGCTTCAGTAGTTTTTTAGCTTTCAGGAAAAGGACGAGCTGGTGCTGAAGCAGATCATCGGTGTGAAAATGAAGAACATGTAGATGATTTGAACAGCTTCCAGTGTGTGCTGCAGACTAAACTAGTTTCCAGCTGGTTTGTTCTCCTGCACTGCTGTTGGCTGCTCCAGTCTGCTACTTATGTGTTGTATGATTAAACAGCTGCAAACATAATTGCATACTTTAATACAAGAGGACAAAATTAGACCTGAACTTTCAAAAGGTCCGTTTTCAATCTGTAACTCAGACCAGTGATAAAAATGAATATCCTAAAACGTCCTCCTGTGTCTTAAGAATATATTTTTATTGCAGCACTTTTCGGATAGTAGATATATTTAATATTTTTTTAACACATCTTAAAGATTTACTGTAAAGAAAGTGGATCTATTTTTAAATGTTAGCTTTGATCTGAGTAACAGATTTTTTTTATTTATTTATTTTTTTTAAGCGTCAGGTAATTTTGTTGGCTTCATAACTTTTTAAAAAAAGATTATTTTTGCTTTGTGGATTTATTTATTGACACAAGGTTAAAAAAAGCGAGGGCTTTATTCCACCTTTTTCTTGATAAATTCATATTTTCTTGGAAAAAAGTATTCTTCTGTTATTTTTGGTTATTTTATAACAAAGATTGTTTGCTTTTTCTAAAAAATTTTTACATGAAATGCAGATTTCTAACTTACCCAGATTCCTGATGGACATGAACATTATGGTCATGTTACGTCACTTTGGTATGGTGATTTAGAAGTGGGGGGAAAAGATCAGTCAAATCCCCAAAATGTGTAAAACAAAAGTCTTTGTGCCATGTTGGAATAGAAGCAGATATCACTTTTATAGAATAAAACACCCTTATTGTGAACAATTTTATTTATTTATATATAGAGATGTTGAAAAGTTGTTCTTTTGTTTTTGATGCTCACTCATCAGCAGGCTTTCTTGCAAACTGCTGCTGCTCTTCACTGTGTTTAATCTTTGTCGGTGTCTGGATGAGTTCTGGTTAAAGCAGGGCTTACAAACCTGATTGTTCCCCTCCATCTTCTGTTGCAGGAGGATAACGGTATGCCGGTTCATTTAAAGGGAGGCAGTGCCGACGCCCTGCTCTACAGGACAACGATGGCACTCACCGTCCTGGGTAAGTACACCTGTCTTTGTAACTGCTTTAAACTCTGAGCTACTTTATGAACCTCATGAGCTGCTGTAGTTTTTATTTAAATTGAAAAATCCAGCCTGATAATTTAGCCTCAGGTGGTACACAAGTTTAGTACCATGGTAGTTGATATTTGATACCTTTCAGATAAACAAATAGAAAGAATCTTGCTGGGATTAAGTAATGGTAACTCTTACTGCTATTAACAAATGGTGTTCTTTCCACAGACCACAGAACATGAAGTAGTACATATGAGGATACAGATCCATTGGAAAATAATGGGACCTTATCCTTAGTGAAGCACTTTGAAATCCATTTTAATCTTCGTCTTTTTGCTCTTCCTTCCAGGTGTTGGATATGTGCTGTTTGAGCTGGTGAAGGCAGCCTTCCCTCAGAAGAAATAACTTCTCTGCTTCAGCTGTTTACTTCCACTTTCCAAAAACCGGCCAGCTGTTCTATATTGTGTAAGAAGATGAAAATACTCCGTCTGTGCCGGACCGCGTTTCGTGTCGTGGTGCGATTCTATTGTGGTGTTCATTGGATCACTATTTATTTCTTGTAGTCTCTGGTGCCCTGAGGATCAATAAAGAAATGCCTCTCATGACCAAGAACCTTCTCGTGCCTCTTCCTTTTTAGTTTTCTGATGGTGGTAAACTGTGAAAAGCTACTGAAGTAATGGAATTAAACTTTAAACTATTAGTAAAGCAACATGAGGCTCTGCAAGCGTAAACCTTTTTCCTCCAGTGTGAGGATTTCCCATCGTCAGTCTCAGTTTTATAGAGTTTTAAACTTGCACAAGTAATGAAATCTCACTCTGTCACAATTTTGGCTTCTCACAGTTAATAAACATTATATAAAGCCTTCAGCCTCTAGCCTTTGTTTGCTATTTTGTAAAGCGTGCACTAGAGGGTACATTGGACAGTAAATTTATGTGTATGACAAGTAATCCATTTTTGTGTTTTTCATATGAAGGAAAAAAAAAATCCTAAATATTCTAAAACCATTCTTGGTCACCGCTACCACTTCTCCATAAATCCTGCCAAAAAACAAGCAATTTTTGTTGGCAGAGGTAATCAGAATCAGAATCAGAATGGGGTTTATTGCCAAATGTTGAGCAGGTTTACAACATTAGGAAATTGCTGCGGTGCTTCAGTGCAAACAGTGTCATAAATAGCACTTAAATAGACATGGAAAAAAAATAAAAGTAGGGATAAGAATTAAAAGTGCTACGTGGAAACATATGTGCATGAGCTATACATGAGATATATACATGAGAATAAGAATTAAGAGTGCTACGTAGAAAGATATATACATGAGTGCAGGTGGTGATCAGTGCCAAACATGGAATGATGCAGTGAACACAGCGTAGGGTCATGTGTTAGTGGTGGGAACAGTCATATGGTTATTGTTCATGTGTCCAACAGAAGAGGGGAAGAAACTGTTCTTATGGCGAGAGGTTCTGGTGCGAATGGACCGGAGCCTCCTGCCTGAGGGGAGCAGGTCAAACAGACTGTGTCCAGGGTGAGAAGGGTCAGCTGAGATCCGAGCTGCACGCCGCAATGTCCTGGAGGTGTACAGGTCCTGCAAAGATGGGAGTCTGCAGCCAATCACCTTCTCAGCAGAGCGCACAACACGCTGCAGTCTCTGTTTGTCCCTGATAGTGGCTCCAGCGTACCACACGGTGATGGAGGAGGTGAGGATGGAATCGATGATTGCAGTGTAGAACTGCATCATCGTCCGTGTTGGCAGGTTGAATTTCTTCAGCTGCCTCAGGAAGTACATCCTCTGCTGGGCTTTCTTTATGACGGAGGTGATGGTGGGCTCCCACTTCAGGTCCTGGGTGATGGTGGTACCCAGGAAGCGGAATGAGTCCACAGAGGTGATGGGGGTGTCAGTCAGGAATGTGTAATGTATGTAATGTAATGAATGTGTGCTCCTGTACTATCTATGAGGGCCACATTTTAGTGGCCGGCTCTGTTAAAGAGCAACATAGTAAATTTCACAGAGAGTGAAAACAATGTTTCTGCAGTGTGTTAAAGATGCCTTAAAGTAGCTCTGGACCTGTCGAAAAAACTGAATCAAAGCCTGCTGTGTGAGAGCTGCAGGTTAGCGAGGAAGTCTGTCCCTGTGTGTGGTTCCTGCAAGTACGGGAACTTCTGCCAGGTTCAGCGTGTCATCTGAGTCTGATGGGAATCACAACACGAATCTTTTTCATAGGAAAAAAGTCTAAGTGTAAACAGCTCTGACACACCATAGAAATGGGAAATAGGTACTTTTTCATGACTAAATACATGTTTGGTCAACATACTCACAAATGACTCGTATACAGCCTGTTCTCCAAGAGCCTTTGCAAGACTAACCTCACCTGTTGACTGATTCCCTCCAACTTACAGGAATATTAAGAATGTAATTGGTGAAAAAGATGAAATTGTTAAGAAAATCATCCACTTGGCTTATGTGGAGTGGGTGATAGACCTTATGGAGATCCAGTTTGGAAAAATGTTGTAGTTTCAAAATTTGGAACTGACTACTTGTGCTAGATATATTTCCACAGTAATCTATAAAATGCCATAGTGTATTATTCATTTTTGCCACAAGGAAAAAAGCAGCAAGAGGAAAGGAAGATGGATGTATAACACCATTATACCATAAAAATTGTTGAAAATCGGTTCAGGTCTCTATTATGTAAATTACACATTCTTGACCCTTTTCAGTCTGGGCTTCAAAAGCAGCACTCTACAGAGACCGCTCTCTTAAAAGTCTATAATGATCTGTTAATGGCATCTGATGCAGGGAATTATTCTGTGATCATTTTGCTTGAACATTAAAATTAGTCTCTTTTGACTGCCACAAACAGTGTTATCCAGAAGCTACTGTTTGAATATACCTCCCTCTTGTGGCAGGACACCATCGACCACAAAATCCTACTTAACAGGCTCAAGGTTTTGGCTGGTGTATCTGGCTCTGCCCTAGACTGGTTTTCTTCCTATTTATCAGACAGGACCTTTTCTGTTAGGACTGACAGGTTCACCTCTGACATTGCTGCCCTGACCTGTGGGGTCCCACAGGATTCAGTTTTAGGTCCATTATTATTTTCTTTTTATATTTTTATATTCAAGCAACTACCTCGTTCTAAATACCAACAAGACCGAGACCATGATCATAGCTCCTCCTGAGCTACATTAGTCAGGTTCTTACCTCTTTCTGTTCATCTGTCAAGTCAAATATTCGAAATCTTGGAGTAATATTTGACTCTTCTCTGGGCCTTGACTCTCATGTAAAATCTTTGTCTCGTTCCTGTTTCTATCATTTAAGAAACATCTCTAAACTGCGACATATGGTCTCTTCAGTTGAACTGGAAAAACTGATTCATGCATTTGTGTCATCACGCTTAGATTACTGTAATTCCCTGTTTACTAGCTTGGATAAATCATCTCTCTCTCGCCTTCAGGCGATACAAAATACTAACTCGTCCTACCAAGCGTGTTCACATTACTCAGGTCTTATATTCTTTACATTGGCTCCCAATAGAGTTTAGAATTCGCTTTAAAATTCTTGTTTTAACATACAGAGCACTAAATAATGACTAGGCTCCAGATTATTTATCCAAGCTTCTTATAAAATACACTGCTGCTCTTCATCTCCGCTCATAGACTCAGAGTCTGTTGGTTGTATTGTTTATTTTAATATTTGTGTACAGCGCTTTGTGACTGTCTGTGAAAAGCGCTTAATAAATAAATTTTACTTACTTACTTTACCTATAACCAGAAAATCCAAGCTAGATTTCTTCATAGCCTCTTGTTCCAGTAAGGATGGTTGCACAAACGGTTGAAGGGAAGGGGTACACCACATAAAAACAATCAGTAGCAGTCATACAGTCAGTGAGGTGAAAGATTTTATTCTTTTCTAAACACCTCTGCCAGACCTTGATGTAAACCTACAGCCATGAATGTCCAAGAGTCAGAGCAGCACAAGGATATTCAAACCCAAAGAATTCATGATTACCAGACAGGGACAAGTAAATGGGAATAGTTTGGTGGGTAACAAGGGCTGAAGCTTTCCCATAAACCGCAGTTACTTGTAGAAGTTCAACAAGTAACATGGTGGAAATACTAATGTATGTCTCATTTGAAGAGTTTCAGTCAGGTTTCAGAGCCCATCACAGCACAGAAACAGCTTTAGTGAAGGTTACAAATGATCTTCTTATGGCCTCTGACAGTGGACTCATCTCTGTGCTTGTCCTACTAGACTTCAGTGCAGCGTTCGATGCTGTCAACTATAATATCCTGAGCAATTAGAGCATGCTGTAGGTATTACAGGTACTGCGCTGCAGTGGTTTAAATTATATATGTAATAGACTCCAATTTGTTCATGACAATGGAGAGTCCTCTTCACACACTGAGGTTAATGATGGAGTTCCACAGGGTTCAGTGCTAGGACCTTAGTATCATCAGAAGGCATAGCAAACATTTTCACTGCTATGCAGATGACACCCAGCTCTATCTGTCCACGAAGCTAGATAACACACACCAATTGTCATGAACCGAAGCTCCAAAAGGGTCGAGACGGCGAGGCTGATAGTGCTTCCGAATCTCAGGCGGACAGGTGGACAGGCAGGTGGCTCGCAAAAACGCCGAGTTGTGATCTGAGTACACAGGGTAAAACAGAGTCAATTCCAATGGACAATTTGTCATAAGGGTTTTTTTTCCCGCAGGTGTACGTTACCGCTGAGAGGCGACTACGGACTGGCGTGGAGCAGCAGGTAGGGCAGGATTAAATAGTCCACCTGGTGATCGCCTGGGATGGGATGCAGGTGTGGGGTTAGCAGCCACGCCCATGGGCGTGGGCATCCCAACAGCACCCCGGACGCCGGGCCGCGGACCATGACACCAATTAGTTAAATTGCATGAATGTCTTAAAGACATAAAGACCTGGATGACCTCTACTTTTCTGCTTCTAAGTTCAGATAAAACTGAGGTTATTGTACTCGGCCCTGAAAATCTTATAAATATGGTATCTAACCAGATTCTTACTCTGGATGGCATTACCTTGGCCTCCAGTAACACTGCGAGGAACCTTGGAGTCATTTTTGACCAGGATATGTCCTCCAATTAAGATATTAAACAAATATGTAAGACTGCGTTCTTCCATTTGTATAATATCTCTAAAATGAGAAATATCCTGTCTCAGAGTGACGCTGAAAAACTAGTTCATTCATTTATTACTTCCAGGCTGGACTTCTGTAATTCATTATTATCAGGATGTCCTAAAAACTCCCTGAAAAGTCTTCAGTTGATCTAAACTACTGTATAGCTCTGTGTAAATAATCATTCTGTACATTCGATAATCTTTAATGCTACAACTGTTTACAACTTCCATAGTTCCCATTTCTGTATAGCTGTATATCTCAGATTCTGTAAAGTTATTTATTTCATATTCTGTATAGTTTTTCATATTTATATCCTGTTCATAGCCTGTACATAGCTTGTACTCGCTACAGCCTGTACATACTTATAGTTATAGAATATTCACAACATACTTCATACCGTGTACATTATAACATAATAGACCCATTTCTGTAATATACTCACATATCTATATTATTGCTAATATATATTGTAATATATCTATATCACTAAAGCACTTCTGGATGGATGCAAACTGCATTTCGTTGCCCTGTACCTGTGCATGTGCAATGACAATAAAGTTGAATTCTATTCTATTCTATTCTATTCTATTCTATTCTATTCTAAAATGCTGCAGCAAGAGTACTGACAGGGACTAGAAAGAGAAAGCAGATTTCTCCTTTATTGGCTTCCCTTCACTCCTGTTAAATCCAGAATTGAATTCAAAATCCTGCTCCTCACATACAAGGTCTTAAATAATCAGGCCCCATCTTATCTTAATGACCTTGTAGTACCATATCACCCTATTAGAGCACTTCGCTCCCACACTGTAGGCTCGCTTGTGTTTCCTAAGAAACACAAGAGCCTTAGATCATATAGTTAGGGTTTTAAAGTTTTAGTTATTATCAATCTTTGACTCTCTTCCACAGCATGAGTTTTCCTGTTTTCCTCCCCTCATTGTGACAGAGGTTTCTTCCTGTTAAAAAGGAGTTTTTCCTTTCCACTGTTGCCAAAGCGCTTTTTCATAAGGGTTAATTGATTGTTTGGGTTTTTTCTGTTTCTTTTGTATTACTGTATTATTGTATTATTGAGTCTTGACCTTACAATATAAAGTGCCTTGAGGCAACTGTTGTGATTTGCCCTGTATAAGTAAAATCGAATTGAATTAAACTGAAAATTAATTCTTTGATCTTAATGTGATCAATCGATCTCCATGGCTTTTAAGGTGGCAGGAATTAAGCCACTGTTTAAAAAGCATTGTTTATTGACCCAGTGTCCAGCCTTCATTAGATCACTTTTCACTCTGCACTCTGCACAATATCGTTTATTATTTAGTAAATATTGATATCTATGACTAGCTAGTTTATTGTGATGGTGCTTTGTTTTCTCTATTATTATGTTGCTCTTTGTTGTTTGCTGTCTCCTCTGTTTGTTTTTTTGTTTTTTTTTGTTTTTTTTCTCCATACAGGTGACCCAGGAGTTCTTTTTTTTTTTCTCTCTCTTCCCCCCCCTTCTCACCGTCTCTTCTCCCCTTTGGTTTTCTTTCTTTCTCTCCCCCTCTTTCTCTCATTCATTCCCCCTGTCCTATTTATTAAAAAAAAAAAAAAAAAAAAAAGACAAAGGATGAACTGAAGCTCTGCCATCACGTAATGTCGCATACTGCTGTTTCTGATGTCATTTAGAAAAAAAAAAAAAAAAAAAAAAAAAAAAAAAAAGATCACTTTTCACTCATCCAGATATTAAAATAAAAAGCAGCTGCACAACAGTTTAAACCCAACCTTTTTAATAAGTGGTGAAACTCGTATTTATTCTGCCCTGAAGGGAAACTGACATTAAAAATTATCCTCTGCGTTTTTGATATTTTTTAATAATTCTTTCCCCAGTCCTGAACTCCACCATCACTTTGTTCCTGCCCACTTCTCAACCACTCGGCATTGTCCAGTAAGGCGCGGTTAGAACTTTGGAAACTGCACGGAAACACGTTAACGTTGGCTGAAAGCTCATCTCTGTAGACAAACATCTACAAAAACGGACAATGTCGTAAGAGCTCGCGGTGGGGCAGGCAGAACTGGGAGCAGCCGCCCCTCCGACCTCCTCGTTAAGTAACAGATTGTTTGGAGACTCTTCACACTTGGAAGAAGGCTGCAGTCTAGGACCGACCACCTCACTCCCACTTTTCTCTGGCCGGAGTCTAAAGCGAAGACTTTTTAAATTTTACGCTTGTTTAAGAAAAAGACATTTGTGTCCATCTCATCTGAAGGTCAGCTGTTTGGGTGCAATTTAAGGGGGATTGATTTACACGCCTTAATTTATCACCCGTTTAAAATCTGTGTGCTTTTTAAATTCTGCAATATTACTTTTTGTTGTTTTCGTTGTTGTTGTTTTTCATTCGGATTATATCTCTGATGTGCGTAATTGCGCACAGTGCCATGGCTTGATCCTCCATTACGCAAGACAGTGGGAAGACTGTGTCCTAATAGGAGTGAATATTGACAATACACAATACAATACAATTTCATTTATATAGCACGTTTACACTGAACAGTAAGCCGTTAAAACAAGGTAAAATAGATAAAACAGAGGAAACAAGCAAAAAGCATTAGTAAGTAGAGATGGGGAGAAATCATGATTATCCAGAGAAATGAGTAGCGATACGGCAGTTAATGAGCGTTGAGAATTAGCGAGGCTGAATAGGTAAGTTTTCAAGCGTGCTTTAAAGGACTGAATGGAGTCAGAGGCATGAATGGTAGCATGAAGATTATTCCAGAGGTTTGGTGCTACAAAAGTACGATCACCCCTAGTCTTCAGACAGAGCCTGGGCTGGGCCAGAAGTAACTGACCAGAAGATCGTAATAACGGCTGGGAGTATAGAGCGTATTTCTCATCATGCAGAAATATTAAAGGCATGACTTTACTCTGAGAGGAAATAATATGAGCCACAGAAAGGAGAGAAAAAGAAAATAACGCAGAGACAGAAGAAAGATTCTTTTCTTAAATATTTTGTAGATTTTGGTGAATTTTAGTCTTTTATATACAATAAAGCTTATCATGTGATCTTATTGCTGCTCGTGGAATAATCATGTGACATATTTCTCTCTTCAAAGCTGCGTTTTCTGGTTGTTTTAAGCATCATGTAGATTTAAATGAAGATGAAGGTGCATTAATGAGATCTGAGGGTTCATGTTCAGGGAGTAATAATAGTCTCATGAAGTCCAGAGGATGCCTGACTGCCTCCTTGGTTTCTCTCGCAGCTTTCTTCATACTGCTGAGACCAGCAGAGTTGAAGATGAAGAGCAGGCTCTCTCTGGCAGTGGTTGCTGCCCTCATGGCACTGCTGCTGTCCTCCTCTCAGGCCCAGGAGATAGGTAAAACCGCTCTTCCACCTCCCCTCTTCCTCCTCCTCTTCCTCCTCTTTGATCCAACACATTTGACTTCTTCCATCTCCCCTCTCCTCTTTCTGTCCTCTGCCTGCTGTGTGTAGCTGCACGTTTAGTCTAAATTAAAATAATGACTGAAGCGAACGTGTGCCTGTGAAGTGTTTTGCTTAAACTTCAGATTTTATCTCACGCGTATGATGATCCAATAATTCCATCAAAACTTAAACCTAGTTTTATTTTCACGATAGGAGCTTTTTATTTTGTATTTTTAAAAGACATTTAAACCATTAAATATAGCCTACTGTGTGAATGTGTGTGTGAATGGGTGGATGACTGATTGTGTAAAGCGCTTTGAAGTCCTTAGGGACTAGAAAAGCGCTATGCAAATACAGGCCATTTACCATTTTACTGAGAGCAGTAATGCAGCTTAAACTTGAATGTATAGTTAAATGTGGCTTTGTGCTTGTGATTAAGATTTACAGTCAGAATTTTTCCTATGAAAGGTTCTCATGTAATGCTTCCCATCAGAGCCAAAGGATGTGCTAATCCTTGACAGAAGTTCCTGTTGTAACTCGAAAAAGACAAAAAGTGACTGCCTTCCCAACTCTGAGATCCTTGGATCCACAGCAGGATCCAAAAATGGATCCTTGGATCCATTATTCAGTGTTTTCGACAGGTCCATGTGGTCAGGCAGAGCTGCTGTAAGGCATTTTTAACATGCTGCAGAAACATAATGCTAAAATGCTGCTCTTTAAAAACAGCTGAGGGGGTTTAGGACTGATCAACAGTCATTCAGTGTGGATTTGGAATATTTGTGAGGATTTTTGTTTTTTCCACTGTGAGACATCTGGTTTGTCATTATGCATTACAACCTACACTGAGACATGTGAAATTTAAATTTTAAACAGGGGCATAGGTTACACAGTGTGTTAGGTGTGTGGATTATTTGTGTTTTGTAATGTAAATCTGCTTTCTGAGTTTTTGTGATGTACTCCTCTCTCCTCTTGATGTATTTCCTCTGACTCTTTCTCACTTTTCCCTCACACAATAAGACTTTAAAGACATTGTGTCTGTTGTGTACCAGATGTCTGACCCCCCCCACTACTGCCCACCCCACCACCACCACTGTTTCTGTGCAGACACTCAGTGTAACACTACAGCGAAGGCCGACATCGTGCTGCTGCTTGATGGCTCCTGGAGCATTGGCCAAATCAATTTCCAAACCATCCGCAACTTCATCGCTCACATGGTCAGCGTGTTTAACATCGGCCCAGACAGTGTCCAGATTGGTAAAGCTTTCACTGCTGCTATCGTATACTGTATCGTATTATCATACATCGGGTCTTAGTTCTGCCCCTCAGTTCATCGTTTGAAAAAAAAAAAAGAAGCTGTTGCAGCTCCTTCTCCCTTTAATTTTTTTCTGATCAGTTTATAAAGAACAAGTCATGTCAGTTTATTTATCTGACACGTTTAAAAACAGAAAATCGAGCAAGCAGCTGATATTAGAGATGCCATGATGGAATGATAACAACACTTTGGTTCAAAGTATCTGCTGATACTGAGTACTAATCAGTACTTTAAAAAACTTAAAGTAATAAGCTGGATTCTGTACTGTGAGAACAAAAGTGAGAAATTCATACATTAAACAACAATAATATAGTAACTGTTTTAGATGTGTGACAACATCAGGCTAAATTTAAACACTGGTGTCTGAAATCTACTGAATTGATGTTCTGATCAGTCTTTGAGTCACAGGGTGCTGCATGCTGCTGTTATTTTTGAGAACAAATCAATTTAAAGAAGTAAAATTACACACTAGATAAAAGAAATTGGTTGCATTTTTTGAAGTTGACTTAATTATTTAAAATGTCATATCTTGGTATATTTTTGGAAAAGTCAGAGTTGCTGTATCTTTGGTGTTTTTCTACATTGTTTCTGCAGGTCTGACTCAGTACAGCAATAAACCAAAGACTGAATGGAACCTTAACGCCCACCCCACCAAAGAATCCCTGCTGCGTGCTGTTGCCGCCCTGCCATATAGAGGAGGAAACACGCTGACAGGTAATTTTTAATTTAAAATTATTATTATTATTATTATTATTATTATTATTATTATTATTATTATTATTATTATTATTATTATTATTATTATCATTTTTACCAGCACTACCAGCACTCACAGGGTTCAGACTGATCTAGGGGCCAGCTTGGGAGCAAACTTTGATTCATTGTTATATCACAATTTATACAAGTATAGTTTCAAGGCACTTTATACAGTGAGGTTGAAGTATGTTACAGAGAGTTGGACGCTGTGGGAAAGAAAGATTCCCTTTTAACAAGAAGAACTGGGAGCAGAAACTGAGCTTAAAATTTGGCAGGAGGGCTGGAGTTGATATATTGAAGATGATGCGCTTCCATAGGAATCGATAGCTTCCATTCAAACACAAATTAATCAAGGAAAAGTTAAAGACACATTCAGTATCACCTGATCTAACAGTAAGGTTTCTGAAAAAGAAATGTTTGAAGCCTAATCCTAAAGTAGACAGTTTCCGTATCCTAAACACAAATGAGCAGCTGGTTCCATAGGAGAGGGGTCTGATAGCTGAAGGATCTCCTTTTAGAAACTCCAGGAACCACAAGCCTGCAGCCTAAGGGTAAAGTGCTTGGCTGGGATAGCAGGAGGCCTCTAAAAGGATGGATATGATAAATCCCCGAAGGCTGAAGATTTAGTCTCCTTTAAAGCTTTCCATCAGTAATGGGGGACATCTAAAAGCTGACGTGTACCGTGAACCTACACATACGGATCAGTATCTAAGGTTTGACTCTCATCATCCACTGGAGCACAAACTGGGTGTCATCAGGACGCTACAACACAGAGCGAACACCTTCCCCACTGACACAGCGGCCAGGGAGGCAGAAGAACAGCACATCAAGAAGGCCCTGAGTAAATGTGGTTATCCCAGCTGGACTTCTGTCAAAGCGGGAAAGGCACCTAAAGAAAGCTCCAGCTAATCCAGGAGAGAAGGACAACCACTGCCCAAGCAAAAACCTGTAGTGATCCCATATGTGTCAGGAGTATCGGAGCAGTTGAGACGCACTTTTTTCTAAACACCGGGTCTCTGTGGCTTTTAAACCCCAAAACACGCTGCGCCAAAAATTGGTCCACCCCAAGGATCGGGTCCCCCGACACAAACAGAGTAACATAGTGTACACTGTTAAGTGCCAGGAGGATTGCCAGGATTTATACATCGGGGAAACCAAACAACCTCTGGCGAAGCGGACGGCACAACACAGAAGAGCTACCTCGTCAGGCCAGGACTCTGCAGTATATTTACACCTACAGGCCAGTGGACACTCTTTCAAGGATGAGGATGTGCACATCCTGGACAGAGAGGAACGCTGGTTTGAGCGCGGAGTCAAGGAGGCCATTTACGTGAAAAGGGAAAGACCATCTCTGAATCAAGGAGGGGGCCCAAGGGTACATCTTTCGCCATCTTACAATGCTGTGATTGCAGCCATTCCCCAACTCTCTGTGAATGGTACTCATGGTCTTTGATCAGTGGGTTTTGGTCAGTGGTTGTTGATCAATTCTCATGGGAATTTGCATAATTAAGATTAAGGAACTGACCTCCCAGCCCATTGTTCCTTCAGTGGGCTGGTTTCAGTCATTATGCAAATGTACTGTTTATAAGATTGGAGAAACAGTCAGCTGAGACTGAAGAAGTCACTTGGATGAGTGACGAAACGTTTCTCCCACAAAAACACTAAGTCCAGATGAACAGATTCAACTTTTGGAGATTCTTTCAGTTTAGGTAAAAATACATTGACAAGGGCCATATTTATTCCTCTCATTTGTGGAGCAAAGTGTCAGAGAAGCATTCCTTGTTGTTTCCCTCAGATGGGTCAGGCTTGTTTCAGAAGGGCTAAACAACAGAAAAGCAGCATGCAGTGCTTTGGGATCTGCACACATAACTGAAACTTCTTCCTCACTGTGGTACAGGAATGGCTCTAAACTATATCCTCAAGAACAGCTTCAAACCCAAAGTAGGGTTGCGTCCAGACTCCCACAAAATCGGCGTCCTGATCACTGATGGAAAGTCACAGGATGAAGTCATCTTAGCTTCACAGAACCTGAGAGACAGCGGCATTGAGCTCTATGCTATCGGTGAGTGAGCTTCACTGGTTTGAAGAAAAGGAAATGAAAACACATTTGAACTTTTGGATGATTGCTACCTGCATGCAGCAATCAGGAAAAGTACCTGACTTTACTAGAATGGGCTGAAAATGATCAACCAGCAGCCACTTTAGTCATCTTCCTTCATCAAACTCATGGTTTATTTTTCTCACAGGTGTAAAAAATGCTGATGAGAATGAGCTGAGGTCCATCGCCTCTGACCCAGATGACATTCACATCTACAACGTCAAAGACTTCCAGTTCCTGGTGGACATCGTTGACGAACTCTCTGTCAACCTGTGTAACAGTGTTAAGGGCTCAGGTAGGGAAGGAGCCATTTCAGCATTGTCAGAACAATTTTAAAGATGGGCCAGTAATCCAAAAGGCTGCTCAGAGAATCTAGTCTGCATCTGATCTGGACAAGACTTCTGAGACATTTTACATTTTCTTAAATCAAATAGTGATTTATTAATATTGCTGTCTCAGAGATGTCAGTCATTGGTTTGTGGACCCTTCAACTTTACCTCTATGCTTGTCATGGGAGTTAGAAGTGACCACATTTGGATAAGAGAAAGAAGTTGTCAGCTAATGTAAATAAGATGCAACCATAAAATGTACATGCTCAGAACACTGAGTAAATAATCAGTGAGTAATCAGATCATCTTAATTATTTAATGTTATCAAGGTGCATCCATGGACCTAAACATAAACTAAGTTTTGCTATGAACAACAAACTCACCAAAACTGAAGTACAGACTTCTGGGACAGTCTGTTATTGTAATTAGCTGCACAGCAGATAATTTCATTAAAATGCTCCAAGAAGCACCAACAGCACAAGCTGTTCTAGAGGTCTACTTTAGTGATTTGAATTAGCATAGGTGAAGCCAAGTGGAGACAGCTAGTAACTACGACCGCTTGTGTCTGCACCATCCCGTTAGCCATAATGGCCACATCCTTAACTTTAAGCCTTAACAAAATCCAAAGGGGTGACTTATCCAAACAGTTGTTATCGACTTATCCCAAAGTTTTATTGTACATGTACAATGACAATAAAAGGTTTTTCTGTTGTGTTCACCACCTGTACAGATTTTATCAGAACAAGTTTAAAGAAGGATCCAAATTTTGTATCCTCCTTTTTTCAAAGCACTATTGTAGTGATTCATTAATATTGTTGGCTCATAGATGTCAGTGGTTGGCTTTTGAACACTGAATACTTGCTACCCACTAATTTATGGGATCCTTTTTGAAGCCTCAATTTTAACACTATTGCATCACCATCTGAGTTGTTATGAACTAGAGTAGACTTAGTAGAAGGGCTGTTAGTTCAGTTAATGCCACAATAAGCTATATTATTTGTGATGTGACTCGTTTTTGGAGCCAGCCCCAAGTGGGCATCGGGGGAACTGCAGATTTTAGCATTTTTTCAGCCCTCCAGGTTTCTACTTTAAAACAAACCCTGGATAAGTCAAATATACTTTGTTTAGGTTTCCCCAGGAACAATTTAAAGGGGAACTGGTACAACTAGTTTCTCTTTAACGATACTGAATTATGTTGTTGCAGTATTAAAAGTGCATTCTATGTTTTCAGGCTCTGCAGATGGGAAAAGACTGAGAGTGTCAGACGAGACAGAGAAAACCATGAGAGTCACGTGGACGCCGGCGCTGGGCAAGCTGCTCAACTACCGGCTGAAGTACGTTCCCCACAACGGAGGCAAAGAAGTGGTCCAGAAAATCCCTGCAAAGGCCACTTGTACCATCATGAAGAATCTGAAGCCTGCGACCACATACAATATCACCGTTCTGCCCATCTACAAGCGCAGCGAAGGAAAAGCAAAGCAAGGAGTAGGAACGACACGTATGTTGGTCCATAGTTCAACCCTCTGAGAGACAGCACACTGCAGAAACATGTCCATCTTAGCCAAGACGTTTATACCTGTGCTCAGTCTAAAAATATGATCGCTGCTGGAACTGAACGATTAAAAAAATCTGCTGTTGGGTGGTCCCTTATTAAAAATGTAGAAGCCCTGCTTATCCATAGTTAGTAAAGTTCAAGTCTACTGAGATCAGATGTTCTCAGTAGATGCTGGATGCAATGGGCACATAGTCACTCATTCAAAGTCAATTTTTGTAAGCTTCTAATTTTAAAGGAGATCTTACATGATGAGGAAAAGTAAATCTGAGGCCCACACTAACGATGTGTGAGGATGTGTAGCCTCCAGGGTTTAATCCTCAGTACTTAAGATTGAAGAATTGTATGTATTTTCCAGGCAGTGGATAAACCTGGTATATTTGATGATTTATTCACACTTTCTCAGAGAAACCTCACACCAAGTCACGGTGCCTTGGAAAAACATATGTTTCTTTGTTCCAAGTTGCAGATTTTTTTCCCGTTTTACCACCAAAAATTTCATGGACTGACTTCAAGTTTAAACTACTTGTTAAGAGGAGTATTTTTCACACCACAGGTGCTGCAGCGCCTCCTCACGAGAACACTAAAATCACAGATAAACACGTGCTCAATAACACGCTAGCATTACTAACACACAGCATGACACTGGGCTTCCTAACGGTCGACACTGGGTTCAAGGAATTGTATTATGGACTAATGAGAAACTGGCTTGAATGTGGCGTGGCTGATCCTTAAAAACCTTCGCCAAGAGTTGGAGTTGTGTCGAGTTTAGTTCTAGGTTAGTTTGTCCTGAATTTCCTGCTGATTTCTTCTATTTCAGTGTCACCGTACAAGAGTCCTTGGAACCTTCTGACCTCAGAGCCCACCAGGACCAGTTTCAGAGTGTCCTGGGATCCAGCACCTGGGGATGTCAGTGGCTATAAAGTCACCTTTCACTCAAGGAATAATATTGACCTTAAGGAGCTCTTTATCGGCCCCGACGTTAACACAATTGTTGTAGAGAAACTCAGGTAAGCTTTCAGAGTTATTTCATGCCATACGTAGAGGATTTCATTTAAAAGGAAACAACAAATATGCGACAGTGAAGAAGACAATCAACAGGAAAAGGCTTAGATGGACACTATGGTAGCAGAACTCATTAAGTGCGCCTATGCCAAAAGGCACACTTATTATTATTTCTATAACTTGTGAACAGGATTTCTCATGGTTTGCTGTGTGGCAGGCATGATGACCCAAATGCAGAACTCATAAACAGAGGAGTAAATTCAAAATAGCGGCTTTAATGCTGGGAAACTTCACATCCAAATACAAAGCAAAGGAAGAAACTAGAAACAAGTAACAAACTAAAACACTTAAACATAGCTGGGACTAATTAGATATGATAAGATATGATAAGACAAGGGGAAGCAAAAATAGATACAAGGACATGAAACAAGGGACCATCGAAGTAAAACAAGCAAGAAAATAAACAGAGTCCAAGGCACAAAACTAGGCACAAGAGTCCAAATAACAAGGAAGGTGGCAGTGTTGTGGGTGAATCAAATCTGGAGGCCGACAGCGTGGAAAACGGTGGCAGCGCAGGCAAAGAAGATCCGGAGGCCAACTGATGGTGGAGTGGCTACCACAGGCAGTTGATTGGTGGTTGAGTGGTTGATGGAGTTGATGGTTTGACACATTCTCAAGAGTCACCAGCAGAGATGGGAACCGAGCCCCCAATGGGAACAGACAGCAGGTGCGGCTCACCTGAGCCCCCACCGGGAACAGACGCAGAGCCAGCAGGTGCGGAGACCTCTGGTTGAACAGCTTAGCAGGTGGCTGAGTTGATGACTGACCAGGTGGCTGAGCAGATTCCTGAGCTAGTGACTGAGCTAGAGATAGAAGCAGTGGTTTAGTGGTGGTTGAGCCAGTTCTCCTGAGCTCCCAGAAAATGAGAGAAACGTCTGGACAAGCTCACCTGAGCCTCCAGTGGAGACATTAACAGGTGAAGGCCCTTGCCGGGTGCTAGCCACTCCACCCGAGGAGTAGGTATGGGTTCGGAGGTTGGCTGTGTCCTGGCAGGCCTCACCTCAGGGACCGGCACAGGTGCCGGGAGAGGGGACACCGGTCACTCCCACCCAAGGAATAGGTACAGGTGCAGCAGTGAACTGGTTCTTGGCCGCCCTCACCCTGGGGACTGGAACAGACAGTGGCAACAGCTGGGCAGCTGCCGTCCCCACCTGAGAAGCTGGTACAAGTGCAGGGACTAGCAGAGCCTCAGCTGGCCTGGAAAATAGAGCAGGGACCAACCAGGGCCTAGCCCCCCTCACCTGGGAAACTGACTCCGGTGTAGGTGAAGGCTGGACCAGGAACAGGAACAGAGTGAGGCAGGGGAGCAGGCTCGGATGCAGCGAAAATAGGTTTTAGACCTTTTCCACCACGATGAACAGTTTTGAATGTCGAGAAGAGCAAAAGAAAAATAGTCATTTTCATTAACCACTGGCAGTTGCTCAGTGAATTAAGAGTGTCGGCGGCGTAAGCACCGCTTTGTCCGGGGGACAGAATTGAGCTGTGCCTCCAGTGCGCAGGAGGATTCCCAACTGAAGTGGACGAGGTTTGGATGCTCGCGGAGCAGCAGGTGGAGTTCTATGGAAATTCTGCACACCTACGAGAGCCAGATGTAGGACTCATAAATTCAAAAGAGTTTATTAGTCCTACACTTTGAGTAAACTCAAAACGGCAGCTTTAATGCTGTAAAACCTCACATCCAAATACAAAGCAAAAGAAGAAACTAGAAACAAGAAACTCAAACTAAACCACTAGAAAATAAACCAGGAACTCAAAACTAGGAGTCGACTTGGCACATTGAGGGAAGAAACACACAGCATAGTGAGGGTGCAACACAGAAAAAAACAAGGAAAATGCATGGCTTAAATGCACAAGGGCGCAACGAGGGAATGGGAAACAGGAGGGAAACACAGCTGAGACTAATTAGACATGGGAAACGAAACTAGATACACTGACATGAAACAAGGAACCGACAAAGTAAAACAGGAAGTTTAACACAGAGACAGTGAAACAGAGAGACATGACTGACCGGGGAGACA